GCGGGGCGGGGCGGGGTGGGGTGGGGCGGGGCGGGGTGGGGTGGGGTGGGGCGGAAAAAGGGCCGGAATGGGAAATGATACGGTGCGGTGGCAGTGTGACAGCCGCGAGGCGGAAGGGAAAAAGGTAGTTAGGGGGGTTGCGGGGGTTTTTATGGTTCAAAACACGGCAGGTGGATCACAGAGCTCTGGCGACGAGGGTAGTTAGTTAGTAATGACCTTGTTCTTTTCCCCCTCGACTCCCGAATGGGTTACGAGCGGCCGATGACCGTGCCTTCTTGCGCCGTATTCACATACACAAATAGTAAATACTAATTTTATTTACATTTTCCTCTTCTCCCTTCCCTTTCTCTCTCTTCTTCTCTCCTCTGTCTTCTCGACCTCGACCTCAATCCCAATCTCAACCTCCCGCAATCGTTTGATGGTCGCTTCCCACTGCGCCTCACAACGCGTGGGTAGTGCGGTGGCGGCACCGGCGGCCCGGTACCCCACCACCAACAGAGCCACCCACCCCAGTTCACCAATATCCTAAATAAGCAAGAGAAAGCAATACCATGTGCATACAAACCTATCTGAAAACAGATCAAAGCAGAGCACACGTACAACTGCACTTACGTACCGACGAACTCCGGTAGAGCCGAAGACCCGGGGCTCCTGGATGCGCTCTGGAAGGCGCTCCAGGGGGGGGCCCCGGGGGGAGGTCAGCAGCACAGAAGGTAGGGGGTTACGTTGTGGACGTGAAGGAGGGCTATATGATGGTGGGTGCATGCAAGTGGAAAGATGTAAGGATGATACCCCAGGGTAGGTGGCATGCAGTACGTTGTAATCTGCAGGGCATATCAACGGGCTCTGCATCCGTCGATCAATACTTTTCTAAAGCAGTTGTAGTCGTGTGATATAACGCAGCATCACAAGCTTTCGATAACTATCTAGTGGATAGAAATTTAAAATAATGGAAATGTTGCCACGTGCTTTCGTTTCCACAAAAATAAACTCCTCCAAAGATAAATTTTAAATTCGATTTCCGCCCAGGGCAGCTGCGATCCCTGCAGGAGCCAAGCAGAACCACCTAGCAGCCGGCAGTTACAACCGCCAACCTCCTTAACGTCTAACCGTCAACTACACCGCACCTCCAGGTCCTCCTCGTAATAGTCGGCGCCCATCAGCACACTGTCTCGAATGACCACTCCAGGACCTACGTATTAACGTATGTTTATCCGTCCGTCCGTCCGTCCGTCCGTATGTATGTTTGTGTGTATGTCAGTTGATTTTCGAGGTAAGGATTTGGGGTAAAGAGGGGTCGGTTTACAGGAGGTAGAATTGTACGACACACGTCCCTTAAAGGGTTAAGCAATAAGAAGTAATAATGATGAACGAACAAAACACACAAACACACTGGCCTATGCCACGTCACGCAACGACAAGCAGAGAGTACGGGTTCGCTCGTCCATGTTTGGTTGGTTTAAAGGCAAAACGACAGCCGTCCAACTAACTGCAACTGTCCGTCATACCCTGCGTCCCACACTAGGCCCCCCAGCCCCTTCCCCTCCCCATCCCCGAGAGCTGTACGGCACTCGTACCAATGACGGCGCGGGGCCCGACGACCGACCCGCTGATGGTTGCGCCGCTGATCCGCGCCCCGGGCGCGATGGTGGATCTGCTGATGTTGCAGGAGACCAAGTCCGAGGGGGGCAGGGCCAGAGCGCCCTGGGCGGATGAGGACGGGACAGGGGAGGGCGGGAGAGGGCGGGAGAGGGCGGGAGAGGGCGGGAGAGGGCGGGAGAGGGCGGGAGAGGGCGGGAGAGGGCGGGAGAGGGCGGGAGAGGGCGGGAGAGGGCGGGAGAGGGCGGGAGAGGGAGGGAGAAGATACGTGTACATAAGCAAATCATTATATAAGCGTCGCCTCTGCTGTTCGTCGCCTCTGCTGATCGTCGCCTCTGCTGTTCGTGAATGAGCCATGGATGAGCGTTGTGAAGTTGTATCCTCGGATGCATTCACGGTTCCGGTGGGCTCACGGTGGTTCAGCATAGTACTATATATCTGTACATATGTATGTATATACAGAAACAATTGGCCGGAAATTTGTACAGATAGCGCCCACTGTCACTTCGGGGGTCTGCGGCCCCCAATGTCCTGGCGACCACCTGGTTACTTATAATACTGGCAGGTGACTACTTAACTAACTAACTTCCTAGTGACACCACCGTCCGGAAGGGAAGTATTTTCTCATTAACCACTTGGTCGCTAGTAACCACTTTTAAAAGTACTGGTCCAAATGCTGTGATATACAAATGTTCGGATGCACACGCACTTGACCCACACCCATCCACCCACATAAATAAACACCATAAAAACGGGAAGTAAAACCTCTCATACCGTCAAAACGAGGTCGTGGTATGCGAACGGGTCGAAGGGGCTGTCCGCGCCAGGGGTCCTCAGGCACAGCTCTAGGTTGGCGTTCATGAATGTACGGAGGGATGCGCCCACGTCAGCCCAGTAGCCGTACAGCCGCCAGGTGAGAACCTGCTGGGTGCCGGAAAGCGGTTGCACCTTGTACGGTTTGGCAAGTACGGATACATGTATGCTCGTATGTACGTATCAGTACCCGTACATGCCGTGCGGACTTGCATGGCAGTAGCGGACGGTGCTTGATTGCTGTGGGCGTTACTAGAGGGGAGCGTCAAAGGATTTTAGGATGACATGGATTCTTTTAGAATCATTTGTGAAGTAATGTAATTTTAAGCTTATTGTATTTGACCTTAATTAGTATATGTTTTATTATGAAAGCAAGTTGGTGGTAAAAATGAGGAGAACGCAAGTTCTTCGAAGGAGTCGTCATGATGCAACGCAGGAAGGTGTAACGCTCACACATTCCTTGCTGCTCGGGCTCCTGCGGCAGATGCACCGTGCGCGCGTACATGTGTGTGTGTGTGTTATGAAGGGGCACAGACGTGTGTATTGAGCATTCTGAGACCCACCGACCCACCGCCGCCCTGGCCACCCACCCACATCCTTGACTGGATGAGGGTGCCCCGAAATACCGGGGAAGGCAGGGTTTCGCAGGGTAGCTGCCACGGGCGAAGATATACCCCCCTGTTTCACACATACATCCTTGCTGTGCAGCAGTTACTCATCTAGTTAGCCAGCCAGCCAGCCAGCCAGCCAGCCACAACCTGGGTGTACCCCGTCCCAGCCCTTCCGCACCCGCTGCACACCCCCGCAATCCTGTTTGTCAACCGACCTTGTACGGAATGTCACGCAGCTGCCTTTCCTGTCCCGAATCTTCATCCTCCTCCTTCATCATCTCCTTCCGCTGCTGCTGCTGTAGCTGCGATTTGAGCTCCTCCGCCCTGCGGCGCTCCCCCTGGGCCGCCTCCGGCACCAGCGGCAACACATCAGCCCCGAAGTTGTGCGCGCGAGGGTGCTCCCGGAGCAGTCGCAGAAGAAACTGCAACAGCGTCAGCACCAGCAGTAGCACCAGCAGAAGCAGCAGCAGTAGCACCAGCAGCAGTAGCAACGTCAAGCAATAGCCGTAGCCGCCGCAGCAGCAGTAGGATGGACATACATACGGATGAGATATGCAGATTGCAGCCGCAGCAGTAGCAGTGGCAGCAGCAGGTCCAGGAGGTCACTTGTTCCCTCGCCCTCGCCCTCGCCCTCGCCCTCGCCCTCGCCCTCGCCCTCGCCCTCGCCCTCGCCCTCGCCCTCGCCCTCGCCCTCGCCCTCGCCCTCGCCCTCGCCCTCGCCCTCGCCCTCGCCCTCGCCCTCGCCCTCGCCCTCGCCCTCGCCCTCGCCCTCACGTTTTTCTCAAAGACATAGATGCCGCAGGAGGCGAGGAAAGGTGCGCCGTCGGCCACGCGCCTGGACAGATCGGCGTCTAGGCGGAAGGCCTGTGCCGTCAAGCGAAGGGGCCGAGCGAGCGACGTGCGAGCGCGCGAGCGATGTCCGCCATCAAAATCAAAGAGGTGATGAGTGGGAAATGAGGCACGTAGGAATAGGTGTACAACTTACAAGGTCTGCCATGAAAAGTCCCCGGCGGGGCACGAACCAAAACCCCACAAACACACACATACATAGAAACACGCAAAGACACATAAATTATTTATATATATATATATATATACGTATTATTTCCTTCTTGGGGTTTATAAACAAGTTCACCACTACTACAGAGCGGGACGGGCCCCAGGTAAGTTGTGCGGAATCCGCATGCCAATCTTCCCAATCTATCTCCCAACCTAGCTCATATCATCCCCACCACCAGTCGTAAGTCTGCCGGTCAGTTTGTCGGTCGGTCTGTCGGTCAGTTTGTCGGTCGGTCTGTCGGTCAGTTTGTCGGTTGGTCTGTCGGTCAGTTTGTCGGTCAGTCACCACTTCTCTCACCTCCCGCTCTCTCTGCCCGCGGGGTTTTTCAGCATAGTCCACCATCTCCAAGGTATCGGGATCCACCTGATTAGGTACGGACGTACGGCCATTTTGTACGACTGTGATGTACGGCTATGTATGCGCAGTTGCAGGCTGGCGCCTATGCTTAGGGCAGCTAAAAGTCGGCGGAGGGGGGGAGGGCGGCGCAGGGGCGCAAATAGGCGGGTAACGGGAGGTGTGGAGGCGGCGGGCGGTCATAATGATGATTGCACGTAGGGAGGAAAGTAATATTAAGCGGGGAAACGGAGGAAAATGAGTCGACAATCCGTACACACATCCATCCGTACACCAACCCACCTGCAGCACGCCCAGGTTAGCGACCTGGTCCTCCGGAGCGGGGTGGGTCACCACCGTGACGACAGCACGCTGTACGACATGTACGGCGTGCGTAAACGGTGGACAATATTTTACAATCATCGTGCAGGATGCACGGGGCTGGGTCCGTCTTTTGTTAAGTTTTGCTTTCTACAGGTCAAGACAATATGATATGTCATCAATTCGCGGCGATAAGGGTTCGTCTGACGGCAACACGGTGGTAAGGCACGGACCATTGCCCCCGGGAAATCCCGGGATCGAGATTTTTCAGGGTCGAAAATCCTCCGATGGTGGAAGGTATAGTGCCCCTAGTCGATGGATGGTGGTAACCTGGGATAAAGTTACCATGCGAGCCAACCAGGAATGGAGTTGGGCCGCCGTCGATCCAGCAGATTCCGTTGGATGCCGGTGGTGGGTGCGCAACCTGAGCGATCCAGTGAGTTGTTGACTAGGGTGACTGGATGAGGGTGCCCCGAAATACCGGGGAAGACAGGGTTTCACCGGGTAGCTGCCACGGGTAAAGATATGCCCCCCTGTCCCACACATCACACATAGGTGCATCCTCCCGCGCCTACCCGCTGTTGGTGGTAGGTGATGAGGTCCTCGAAATTCGCCCGGTACAGCTGGTCAGCCGGCAGAATAAGCACGTGCTTCACCTACAGATATACCGTACATATCGTACAAGTTGTACATACATTCATGTTGTACTGTAGAAGCTGGCCGCTGAAAAGAGTTCTCAAGATGCTGGCGGAGCGCCTTAGCGCGTAATTGTAGACGATATGTATGCCGTACTTTGTACAGCTAGTAGATGTACATACGTGGATGCAGGTGCTTAGGTGATAAGGTTGATGAGACGGCGGTGACGAGAAAGGCAGAGTAATAGGGCGTTAAATGGCATGCAGCCGTGTACATATGTACAATCGTGTGTATGTCTGTATGCAAAACCCAGCCGGTGGATGGGCGCGCAAGTGCGTGGCCCCATGCATGTGGTTAGAGAGGTTAGGTCTGTCGATCAGCGGATAGAAGGAAACCTGTATGTATGCCTGCGCCACACTGACCTGTGCACGCATATGTTAAGTCTGTTGGTCTCTAATGCAGACACAGTCAACGACCCCTGACGACACCTAACAAACAAACTAACTAACGAGCTTACTGATCTACGTTCCGACGTACATGTCGCAACTTGGGATTCTCAAGGACCCAGGACATGAGCCGTACGGCATCCGCGTTGCCCTCGGGCCAGCGAGATCCCCCGGGGTACTGCGTGGTAGCTAGAACCTGTGTATGGACATGTGCGTAGTGGTGTCGTACAATACGGCACACAGTCAAAACATAAATGCCTAAAGCGTGTGCTTTTCCAGCAGCATCTCGAGAGGCCTTTTTGAGCAGCCAGCTACCCTGCAGTGTCTGTATGTAAACATGTGTGCATGTATGTATGTATGTGAGGCGCAGGCTTGTGTTTTAATGGCATTTCATTGAAAAGCTGAGAAGCATGTCGTACAGCTGACAATGGAGGATTTGCGTATGTACGGGGTAAGTCGTATACCTATTGGAGACGACCCGCGGTACGGACATTTGCATCGTACAGAAGTGCTTCGAGGAAAATACGACTTGATATCGCCCACCCATATCCATCTATCCATGTAAATCAACCACGCATCCATCACGCCACCCAGTCAGGGTAGACGGGCTGCGTGCCAGCCAGATCCACTCGCACAACTCCACTGTACTGTACTGTACCGCACTGCACTACAAATGTTTACTGCACGCACCTCCACAAAGCCATCCCCTCCCAGAGGTACTCCGTCTCCAAAGCCGTACGTACGGGTAATGTACCTGCGACAGTTATAATTAGTTAATGAGTGGCAGCACCAGCGGTGGCAGCAGCGGCACCTAGGTTGTAGTAGTATACGGTATGCTGGTGGAGCGCTTAGCGCGTATATGCATTTGTTATGTGTGCCGTACTGTGCACCAGCTACTACACCTGGTTGCGCACGTACTGATGCTTTCGCAAAGAGGTTGTAGCTCTAAGTAGCTTGCGGGACTAGCACTGATGATGTTGGAAGCGACAGTGCTATTTTTAAACCAATTAATAAACATTGTCAGAGCTTATGTGGCCACAGGGCTACTTCTTACTTTGCCAATTACTATTGTCAAAATGTTAACAACAACTGGTGCACAGCATGTGCTTATTACCACGTTGACGACGCCTATGTGAAACGAACGTTTCATGACCGATTGCATAATCGCGCCGTAGATTGCTACGCATGGAGGATTTCGGCTAGCGCCGCAGCAGCGGGAATCGCTAGGTAGGCTGTTGGTAGCGCAGTAGCGCGAAGCTGGAGATGAAATAGATTAGATCGACACAGGCACACATTTGCGCATACATATACACAGCATACATACATACATACATATACTAGGGTTTGGCACCACTGGTAAGGCGCGACCATTGCCCCCGGGAGATCCCGGGATCGATACCCCTTAGGGTCAAAAGTCCTTCCGATGGTGGAAGGCATTGCGCCCCTAGTTGATGGACGGTGGTGACCTGGGATAAAGTTAACCTGCGAGCCGACCAGGAATGGAGTTGCGCCGCTGTCGACCCGGCAGATTCCGTTGGATGCTGGTGGTGGGTGCGGAACCTGAGCGATCCACTGAGAAGTTGACTAGGGTGACTGGATGAGGGTGCCCCGAAATACCGGGGAAGGCAGGGTTTCGCAGGGTAGCTGCCACGGGCGAAGATACACCCCCCTGTTTCACACA